CGTTTCGTAGAAAAAGAGCTAGGGAACTCATTAGCATAACTCATTAGCATATGCCACACCCCCTGACATCACCGGAAGTGTGTCATAAGGCCACACCCCCTGACATCACCGGAAGTGTGTCATAAGGCCACACCCCCTGACATCACCGGAAGTGTGCCATAAGGCCACACCCCCTGACATCACCGGAAGTGTGTCATAAGGCCACACACCCCGCCCACAACGGTCCCGGCCGCCGCCCCCGGCCTTGCAGCTCCACTGCCGAACCCCATGAGGGGCCCGGCCGTGGACCTGCAAGGCCGGCGGGAGTGCAAGGAAGCCCCGCGAAGGCCCTCCCTGGCCCCAGGCAGGCAGGGGGGGGGAGCGGGCCTCCTCCTGGCTGAATGAGGTCCAGAAGCGGGGCGGCCGGAAGCGGGGGGTGGGGCTTCGTCATGTGCCCCGCCCCCTGTACCTCACCCGGGGGAATTGCGATTCCCCACGATCCCCCCCGAAATGACCCCTGTACCTCACCCGGGGGAATTGCGATTCCCCACGATCCCCCCCGAAATGACCCCTGCCTAAAACCCCTCTGGGGTGGCCGTAAATCATCTGTGACTTGACAGTTCTTTCCACCCCCACCCCCACCAAGACTTGAGCAGTGGGATCAAGCAGTACGGCAGAAGCAAAATTTCACATGCGGCTTCCAGTATTCAACAAATGAGAAATCAGTGCATTTCTTGGACTTCGACAAGCCATTTGACTTTCCATTGCCAAACTTGCAGCCACGAATCTTGTAGACTGTTCTTGGGGGTTCCTGGAAGTGACCAGATGCATTCTGGGTTATTTGTGAGACGCTGGTGTAATCAACTGATCTAGCCACTTCACTGACTGGTTAACTGGAACTGAACTCCCCCAGAACAAATCCTTGTGGGAAAAGAATTGCTTTGCTATCGATTACCGATCAGTGGCATCCCAGGGTTCCCCTTGGCCACCCAGTCCACAGTAGCACCCATAAGAAGTATACTCTGGGAATGCGCTTTTTCCAGTTGCTGTTTTAATCATTTGTCCAAATTCCAGGAGGCTCCCTTGGGCCACAAGAACACCTGCAAAACAATTATGGAGGGAGTTAACTGGAGAATGTGTTAGAAAGGAAGGGGTTTTGTTTCATTTCCTATACTCATAAATTTGGTTCTCCATGGATGTTGAGGTTCCCTGTAAATAACCTCAATGGAGACTTTTAGCATACTTGAAATTTGGCCTCATGGCTTCCTGATCAGTGAGCAGAGAGGGCTTTTAAAAGATTTTGACAATCACAGGTAGAAAGGATTTTATAGACTTTGTGTTCACAGCAGGGTAATTTTTCAGCAACACAAAATGACTCTCGTGTGGATCCCACCAGAGAAGGAAAAAGAACACAGAAATGCACCAGATTCCTAACAATTTTGTTCTTTCATGAATGCTATGAATTCAGTATTCAGATGGAATCACACTCACTTTGGGCACCTTGTGAGTACTTTGGGGACATTTCCCAGTTCTTGACTGAATATCCTCTGCCCCTGTAAAATGGCCCTATAATTTTTAAAATTAATTGCTTTTTAAAAGCCTGTATTTAAATCTTCCTCCTTTTGCATGAAGAGCAGAGAACACAGTGACATCAGCACCTGCAACTGGCTGTTCCACATATGTCCTGGCATAACTGTGTCCAATACAAATGGATCCGGGTCTGAAAAGGGGGGTTGGCTATTCCTCCTCCCTATCAGATGTTTATGGACCACTGTCAGGTTCTACCCATCTATGGGCCAGTCGGCTTTGTTGGTACTTACTGCAGGCCAGAAGCACGATCACTCCCAAAAGGATCTTCATGTCCCTCCAATGAGGACCTGGAAGAAGGACAACATTAGGGAGGAACAGTGCCGAGACTGGATGACAGTCAACATAAAATCCTTTGGATCTATCTATATCTATCTATCTATCTATTATATATATCTATCTATCTATATCTATCTATCTATCTATATCTATCTATCATCTATCTATCTATCATCTATCTATCATCTATCTATCTATCTATCATCTATCTATCTATCTATCTATCGTCTGTCGTCTATCTATCATTTATCATCTATCTATCATCTATCTATCATCATCAATCTATTTATCTATCATCTATCTATTTATCTATCATCTATCTATTTATCTATCATCTATCTATCTATCTATAATCTATCTATCTATCAATCTATCTATCTATCAATCTATCAATCTATCTATCTATCTATATCATCTATATCATCTATATCATCTATCTATCTATCATCTGTCTGTCTGTCTCTCTGTCCATCCGTCTGTCCGTACACACACACACACACACACACATCCAAAATTGTTTGACTCTGTACTTCAGTCATTGTTCAATGAATAATTAACCAATTAACTTCTGACCAAACAACATGCAACAGTCATGAGTAGTTTCTCCCCTCCCCCCATTCCTGATTTGTTTTATGATAACATGGTTGCAATTTGAGCTTTATTTAAGAATATGAAATTTTAAATGTTTGATTTCTTGTATTGCGTTGTTATTAACCGTAATTTTTTTTATAGTTGCGTTGTTGGGATTTCAGGAGAGAAGAAGCGGTTGGATTTATACCCTGCCCTTTACACAGAGTCTCAGGGTGGCTTACAATCTCCTTCCCTTCCTCTCCCCACAACAGACACCCTGTGAGGTAGGTGGGGGCTGAGAGAGCTCTCTCGAGAACTTGTTACTGACCCAATGTCACACCAGCAGCTGCATGTGGAGAAGTGGGGACTTAAACCCAGTTCTCCCAGATTAGAGTCTGTGCTCCTAACCACTGTACCAAACTGGCTCTCAGAATATGAAAATTTTGCTTTCGGATTTTTACTGTTATTTTGTTGTAAGGCCCCTCTCAATATATATATATATATTTAAAATAACACGGCTCTTACTTGCATTTTTCCTTTACAGAACAACAGTTTAGTGTGTGTGAAGAACAGATTTTAAGCAGAAAAACATAAAATGAGTTTTTCCCATTTACCTCACAGCTTCGGCGGCTGCATTAGGTAAAACTCTTTGTCTGTGTTCCTCTTTGTCTACAGATGCATGAAACACCAGCAGCCTTGAACCGGAGATGCTAAAGACTCAACTTTTGGATCTCTCACACAAAGCAGTTGAAAAATGGCCTCCCACATAATCCGAGAAACCTTTTCTTTGCCATATTCTGTTAAACATCCAATGGATGCTGGAGAACGATAATATTGATACTATATTTATTCTGTTCAGAGCATTTTTTAACCATGACTGGGTTACAATGGACCAAACTGCACAGCTTCCCCTTGTGTATTTTCCTGATCCAAACAGCCCCAGAAGGCACAATTTGCCCTATTACAGCCCCCCAACAGGGCAAATGACATGCAGATATTGCCCTCCTGGACCTAGTGAATGCAGTCAGTATGGTACTTACTTTCTCCAGCCTTGGAAAACATCCGGGGGGGGTCTATAATATGTACTCGCGACTCCTGTTTTCTCTCTTAGCCTTTTTGGAGTTTTGTTGTCTCCCCTTGGAAGTGTATTGGCCAGCCTTTATAGTTAACAGAAGAGTTTCATGTCAACAGAGAGGAAAACCCCCTGCTTCTTCTCCACATTCCAAACCCAACTGGAGAAGCAGGTTTCTTGTCGTTATGTAGAAGTTATGTTGAAATTTCTCCAACCCGTTCTTTGCTGGTCCCCTTAAAGAAAACAGATGACCCGATTCTTGTCTTTCTATGCCTATGTCCTGAGTTATGGTTTTGAAGAATGGGGAAGTTGCCAACTGCATTTCTGGACGTTGTCTTTTGCAGTCCTCGTGACAGCCTTGTCCAGTGGGCTTGTGGAAGTATCCATCAGAACGATACTGTCCCCAGATCACAGTGTTTGTGCAAGAGACCTGGAACAGCTATATCAATACTTTTTTTTTTAATAACTGAAGTATAGCTGTATCACTCCTCCTCCCAGGAAGACTTCCTGCCAGTTCCAGTGAATAATTATAATAAAATAACTAAGTCATTAAATGATTAAAGTATAAATACTCTAAAGGACCATCTCCTTCCATATGTCCCTGTGCATCAGTTATGGCCAGGCAGCAACCTGTTGGTTATCCCGCCATTTAGGGTGGTTAGGGTTGCCAGCTATGGGTTGGAAAATACCTGGAGATTTGGGGGGTGGAGTCTGGAGAAGGTGGAATTTGGGGAGGGGAGGGACCTCATCGGTACACAGTTCCATAGAGCCCACCCTCCAAAGCAGCCATTTTCTCCAGGGGAACTAATCTCTGTCATTTGGGGATCAACTGTAATAGCAGGAGATCTCCAGGCAGCACCTGAAGGTTGGCAACCCTAAGGGTGGTCCATCTGCAGTCGACCAGTGTCATGCCTGCCCTTGACTCAGCCCCAGAGACAGCTCCTGACAGCCTAAGAGGGGAGGATTCAGTGCCTTTAAGAGCTGAAGAAGCATCAGGATCTGCACCTACTGTAAGTACTAAGGAGGATACACAGCAATCTGAGTTAACAACAGGATGGTTTGCACCTGGGATTGAGCAGGCCATAAGCAGCTCATCACCTGCATCTCCCCCACCTGTAAGTAGGCTTAGGGATCAGAGACATCAGGAGCTGGCTAGCCGATGAAAAGAAGCACGTTCAAGAGGGTGGAGGTCCTTGAGCCCTGAGTTTTAACAGCAGCCAGGACTTTGTACAAAGGTGCTAATAAGTTAATGGGCCAGAGCACTATTTAGTAGGGCCTCTGGCCATGAGCAATTTGTGCTGGCAACCTTGTTCGTAGAACCAGAAGCTCTGCACCTTGATTCCTGTTTGACTCTGTGGCTTTTTGGACTCGGCTTGTGTTTGGACTGCTCTGGCTCCTGACTTCCAGCTTTGCACCTGACCACGCCCTCGGCTTTGCTCCCTGTACTCTGACCTCCAGTACATTTGACTACGGCTTTGTCTGGTGTTTTGGGACTTGTTTAATGCTCTGCTGACTTCTCTCCCGGCTGACCTTTGGACTTGTATTGTGACTCCCCCTGTCTGCCTGCCTCCCTGGCTCTACCATGACAACCAGAGCCTGGGCCATCTGCATTATGGCTCTCTGGGATCCCTGATAGGCTTGCCAGCTATGGGTTGGTAAATACCTGGAGATTTGGGTGTGTGTGTGTGTGTGAGGGACTTCTATTGGGTATAATGCGATAAAGTCCACCTTCCAATAGGGTTGCCATTCCTCTGACAGGGGCAGCAGTTTGCCTGATTTTGGGCCCACCAATCTGCCAGCCCCAGTCCGTTTGGCAGAGGGAACCCCACCCCCAAAGTGCCCTGTTCATGCCAATGTGCCCGGCGCAATGATGTCACCTGGAACTGTCATCATTATGCAGGGCACACTTCACATGCGCAACAAACAGATCCTGGAGAGGGACCCCCCCCACCAGCAGCAGCCAGGCAAGACCTGACAACTCTACCTTCCAAAATGGCCATTTTCTCCAGGTGAACCGATCTCTGTCACCCAGAGCTCAATTGTAATCCCAGGAGACCTCCAGCCATCACCTGGAGGTTGACGCCAAAAATGAGAAATCACGGGAGGAATTGGAAATCCAAAAACAACATCTGTGACAAAAATAACATAGAGTCAATAAAGACATGTTTGCAAAATAATTTACTGGAGTAATTCTGTAGAAAATTCTCTTATCGCTCACACGCAACCAATGCTGGGTAATTCATTTCACAATAATTGCTTTATCTGAGCGTGTAGCAATCACAGTTCTTATCAATTTCTACTTATCAACTCTTGAAGGAAACATTCCGTGTTGACTCTCTAATAACAGAACCCAAGGTCTTCACAGATAAAGCAACTATTGTTTACATTGCGCAGCATCCGTTGTGTGTGAGCGATAACAGAAGAGAATTTTCTACAGAACTGCTACAGTAAATGATTTTGCAAACATATCTTTATTGACTCTTCATTATTTTTGTCACAGATTTCCATCACCTGGAGGTTGGCAGCCCTAATCCCTGTAGAGGTGAGGGCGCCCCCTCCTTGGAGATTGTCAGGAGGCACCACCAGGCCTGCTTTTGAGGTGCTTTGAATAGCATGCATCTTTTTTGGGGAGCAGGGTATTTAGGGTTGACTGCTTTATTTTCGGTTTTAACAAGGAATGATTCAAACTGTTGTTGTAAGCCACCTTGGACCACAAGGAAAGGCGGGATATAAATATTTGAATAAAGAAATCGATAAATATAAAAGTTCTCTCTTCTCCATTCGTGACACATTCAGTAACAGCCTTAAAGGGTACAATTTATTTTCGGTTTTAACAAGGAATGATTCAAACTGTTGTTGTAAGCCACCTTGGACCACAAGGAAAGGCGGGATATAAATATTTGAATAAAGAAATCGATAAATATAAAAGTTCTCTCTTCTCCATTCGTGACACATTCAGTAACAGCCTTAAAGGGTACAGTTCAGCTGGTAAGTTTCAAGGGGAGACTCCAGCAAGGAAAAGATTTCATATTGGCTCATTATACAAGCAGTAATTGTTCCTCCTTCCAGGGTTACGTGTACTATCCGGATTCCATCTTACTTTGCTGATTCATCAGTAAAAAAGAACAGGTCTCACCCACTCCAGGGATCACGTCCTCTTTTGGCCAGATCTCTCATTCACCTGTGCCCTGTCCTGGGAAATGGAGCCTTCTGGCCTCTCTTTGTCACCTGACTTCTGCCCCTTCGGCTGTTTACAGCTCTCTGGATACGAATCTCTGTGCCAGCCGAATTTAGCATTTCATTCATTTGACAAGTGAACCCTGGCTCATGAAAGCTTCTTTAGCAATAAATGTATTAAGTTGCAGACAG